GACATGTTTTTTATTATTGTCATTAGTGATTATCTCAATTTCAGCTAAAATAATTGAAAAAATCCTACACACTGTGCCTTTAACATTTGACAGATTTTAAGGGAACTCTTAAAAAGTTATTCAACTCATCGAGACATCGGTCACAGGTCTTCAGCCTTAGCAAAACACAAAAATGGCTAYATGGTCATTAATTTTACAGACAGCYAAAATTTAATGGTAGTAGCTGAGTCATTCATAAGAGCTTTAGAGATCTTGGGAGGGAGCATGAAGTCACATGTAGCTTCGTTTTGTTGCTCTCACAACCTTGTTTCATACAAGCTAAACACTTTAAATCAAATTAGAATAAATCTAAATGTGAAATAAGGTCAGGTAGTTTTTTTAAGGGACAAACAAAGAGGACGGCACTGAGTTCATGCCAGCTCCAACAGCTGACAGCTGTGCAGCCAGAAGGGAAGGCTTTACAGACTTAAAGGCCAAAAGTGTTGGGGTCAGTCCAAATCTGGACTGAATGCATTGTCTGCTCATAATGACCACTATGATAGGAAGACACTTTATTCTACTCACATGTTTCAGTCTTAATCAAAGTTTGCCTCTAAAGAAACCTGGGATCACTGATCATTTATACACTACAAGTTAAAACACATCATTCATAGTTTTTCATCTTCTGTTTGCATCCCTGTCTTTCCAGTTACGGGGACCACGTCCAGCATTTCAAGGTGCTGCAGGACCGCTGCGGTCAGTACTACGTGTGGGACGAAGGCTTCACCTCCCTCAACGAGCTGGTGGACTTTTACCATAGCAACAGCATTGCTAAGGAGAGGACGGTGTTTCTGAGAGACCCAGAGCACTTCGCCAGGGTGAGCATATATGACTCATTGTTTCTGCTCTTCCCCTCTTCTTTAACCATAGCAACCAAAACTAACGGTGCATTTAGAAGGAAGTCGAGACAGGAACGGGGCTTAAGGGACAGGTCAGACCTGCTGAAGTGGAGAGGCTATGAACAATTAATATCTTACCTGTTGTAGATAGCGCTTTGAATGGGCTCAATTTAGAGAATTAGACCACCCGTGGCAATCACAGCAAAGAAGTACAGTATTTTCCATACTATAAGTTGCTCAGGACTAAAGATCTCATCAGTCAAACATTGTATCATGAAGAGGGAAAAAAAACTTGCACATAACCACAAGTTGCCCTGGACTATAAGTCACATTTATTTACAAGTTTCACAAAGTCTAAGAACAGACATTAAATCTGGAATAACACACAACATACCTGGGATGCTGTTCACCAATCTCATTCCACATCATGCAATTAACTTTTTTCCCTTTCTTCATTGAAGCAAGAGTAATCTATTRATTGTGTGATGCCTGTGGCATTGAATTRGAGACCTCTTCRCACCACTTAGGCCACTGCCTGGCTCTGAGTAGGCAAAGGAGAAGAATTCTTGGGGACCCCTTTATGAAWCCCGAGAAGTTCAGAACACTGAGCCTTTCTAACCTAGTGTCCTTYATCCAGGGGACGCAAAAGTTTGAATAATAAAGTTCAGTGTCTTTTKGGGGAGAGCAATGAGCCCACTCAAGAGGCCCTCGCTCAAAYGGGTTAAATTTTGATGCCTTAATCCAAAGTCCAAAGTGCTAACAGATTGTGTGAGATTACACAAGATTGACGCAATATAACCTCAATTTACACTGCCTGTGGTTCCACACTGCTGTGAAGCACAGAGGTGCTCTGAGAAGCATCCGCAGGAAATGCAAGATTGTGCAATAAATGCAGTGATAAATGTGGAAGTCAGTAGGGATGTCCTGATCAGATACTCAGTATCAGTGGCAGATATGGCCATTTTTAATCAGATTTAGTCATGTGATCGGGTTGATCCAGTTTTCGTGACAGTTTTCAGCATCATCATGCTTTACAACTGCTGTTAAGAAGTCAAGTATGCAACCATGTCCACAGTGTGGGAACACTTTTCAATGGAAAACAATGATGCTGAAACTGCATCTTGCAAAATCTGCAAACTGGATGTTTCTCGTGGTGRGAACAGCAGGGCTCGCTTTAATACTACCAACCTTGTCACTTGGAAAGAAWTAAAGACATAAAGCTATCAGATCGGTATCAAAAAGACTAATCATTAAAAAWATTGGATTGTATCTGGAGCCAAAAGATCTGGATCGGGACATCCCTAGAAGTCAGACTGAATTAATTCATTCTATTCAGAAGTAGGGTTGAATCTTATTTTGGTGGATCAGYGTACAGACGTTGCCCTGCGCCGCCCTGCCAAGGCAGTGTAAATGCTCTCATTCTTTATAATGGCCCCGTWTTTACTGCGGAGGTCGGAGCGGAACTGCATCTAGTGTAAACTGGGGGTTGCATCAACTCATTCATAATGTTTTTTAAGGTCTTACTAAAATGGCTACAACTCAATCACACCTCTACATAGTCTAAAACTCTTTAATTTTCTGAATGTTTTTTGCAGTTATTACAAAATCCTAAAATATCATTCCAGAATTGACCGGATGGGTCTAATTTTTTTCAAATGTGTTTATTCAGATTTGTAGTGTCGATGCTTTAGATTTACACCCTTTACAAAGAAAAGTCTGTGCAGGCAATAAATGAATATATTTATGCCACCAAACCATGAAAAACACATCTGTTCTGTCTATCAGCTGCCTCCTTTTTCCTGGTACATACAATTACATTTTCAGGTGGGACTTTTGAGATGCAGTGAATGGATTACTGTGTCAAAAGTCAGAGTCAGCACAAATGTTACAAGTTGCCAGAGTGTTTTTTTTTTTCCAGGAACTTGAAGGCCTGACCGGTTTTGTACAGAGCTGACAGATATGTCATATGCTGAGCGAAACGTGGGGAGCTGCGACTGCAGCAGTGGAGTTCATTACAGAAGGTGCAGCTCTTAATGAAAGATCACAGGACTGCTGCCGGTCTGGAGCAGAGAAATCAGTCATCTTGGTCACCGAGCTGAGCAGTGCCAAGAAACACTGACTTTGAAGGCAACTACTGCCCTTGGTAGTGATTAAGTTGCAAATGATCAGGTGTCAATGTATTGATGAGCAGCAAATGAGATTGAAGAAGTTCCTTTCTCTGGAAGTGCAGGAAATTGCAGGCAGCCCTCGTTGGGGAGTCATCGAGGTAAAAAAAAATAGTTGTTAGTTTTGCTGGCATTTGAAGACAACCTCAGGCTCTGTGGCAATTGTTCCTGGGAGTGGCAGACAACACCTGCAGGTTGTACACRGTTTCTCTAGAGGCTTCTGCTCTGCAGTAACGCTTGTAATACTTAACCACATCACTTTCACTCAGTCCTGTGGCCCAAAACCTGAGATTACAGAACTCCACTCAGACAGTTCTGATCACACAGAAAGRAGGACGTCTGGTTGATAAGCCGAGACATGTGGCACATGGTAATAACTGTTTATGTTGAATGTGTATGTCTAATCTAGCCTTTTATTAGGTCATATGGTTGATATGTTTTAACAGTCTGATTTTTGACAATAACACTGGAATCCCTTGAGGCAATGCRCATGACCTGACAACTTGCATTCCAATATTAATACAAAAGCTTTCAAAGTATTTGTGGATAACTCTCAGCTAATAACCCTACTAAACTTTAACTCAATAATAGACTGAGTTCTAGCTATTTTTTTACATTGGCTAAAGCTATTTACCTGTAGTGGTTATCTTGAACCAGACAACCTWATACTTAATCAGTTGTAGATGTACTTATAATTATTACTTACTGTGAGTTTTGGGGATTTATGAGAGTTTGCTAACAGAAAGACYGACCTGACTACTGGAAATGTGAATGTTTTAAACAAAGATCTTGCACAACCTGTTGGCGCCCGGGATATGTGTTGGGGAAAGACAGTGTGTAAGGGGTGTCACGATACCCGTTTTTCTCAGACTGAGTAAGAATACAAGGACTTCAGTTTGGGTACTCTCCAATACCAAGTACTGTTACAGAGTCCGAACCTAAACACTACACAATGAATTTAAAAACCCTTTTTTTATTTAGAACAAGCTGACTCTCCTTTCTTATAGGCCTGTTATATACAGTATATATATATATATATATATATA